GCTCAGCTTCCAGATCTTTCGCTGCGGGCTGAAGCCGAAACGTCCCTGCCAGGGCGCAGGCCGTGGCGAAGCCAGGGACGGCGACAACCCACTTGCAGCTTCAACTATGAAAGATGCCCACTTCAGCGTTCTCCCCAAGGTCGCACCGCAATCCTGCCTCGCTGTAGTGTTGCCAGAGTGTCTCCATCGCATCCATGTCCTGTTCTTCGATCTTCCGCACCTGGTGCTGTTTGTGGCTTGAGCTTTCCGGAAGGGACGTGAGCGCAGCGCATGCCGTTTGAGCGCAAATAAGAGATGCGTCTAGCCTATTGCTGACAATGAACGTCGCACCCAGCCATGAGGCTTAAGGATCGAAAGTGCCAATGATAACCCAAGCATGGCAGATCTCCCGGCTGGGGATTCTACAACCCTTGATCGCTGAAGTCCCTTGACTGCTCGTGGAAGGCCCGCAAGTCTCGACCACCGCTTCTGCGCCTCGGCAAAGTAGACCCAACCTCTCTTCACCGCAGCCTGCACCGGGCACTCATGGCCGAAAGGCAGAGGCGTTCGTGAGCTCTGGATTCGCAGGGTGATTGCAACCCGTGGGATGTAGCAGCACCCAGAGTGCTGCGGTGGAGCTACAGTACCAAAACTGCTCGCTGAATTAGGCTGAATTGCCTGCGATCCTCACAGCCGGCCTCCCCACCCAGTTCGATGAGCAGCCGTCGCGTCTCCGCATCTGCAGCCTGAACGAGTGAGAAAGGCTTTCGATCACTTCCGGTCGCTTGGCACGGAGTCCGGAACGACCTCTCCATCTTGAACCCTGTATATTTGAGATCGACATTTCGACCGCTTGATACTCAGACATGAAGATGGCATTGGCTCGTGTCAGTGATACTGTGCGACCTCCCATTGCCAAGTTCGTGCAGTCCCCAAGCATGCCTGTGAAGGCCTGCTTCTTTCAGCGGCTTCTACAACTCGAAGCTCTCAAGCAACTCGGGAGCACAACTCATGGCGGGCGCGGCCTTAAAATCTTTCTCTTTCAGGACCTCCTCAAGCTTGCTGAAATCCGCGCCTCAGCAGTTTCGCCTTCCAGTCTTCCCTTCCGCCCTTCCCCATTCGGGATCTGGCTGTAGCGGAATGGCTACGGATCCTTTTCTGTGGTCCGAGAAAGACTCTCGCAGCCTGCTATGAGTGCCCTTTCCGAAGAACTGCATGGATGGCAATGCATGGACCCCTTTCATCTTGACGTCTTTCGAGCTTTACAGTAGAACGATGCTCGCACTCGGCACATAAAAGCAGAGACAGGTGCCTGGAAAGCAAACCCTCGAGTGCCACACCGAGTGTTTCGGGCGAGGATAAAATCGACGCCTCGGGGCTCCGTGTCATTTTTCATCACCCAGTTGAACGGAAAGAGCATGATAATCCACATGAATGAAGTTCCGAGCAGCTTGCTCCTCGCATCCAATCCCTTTCGAACGCTTTGCTCCACTTTTCCCGACTGCTCCAACCCCTTTCTCAAGTGTCCTGGTTTGTCCCGAACCTTCGTAAAATTTTCCACTTCCTTTCACGCGGTTTGCCGTTCTTGCACCACTCCCTCTCGAGCGGTTTGTTGCTCTTGCTCTCTTTCTTCAATATTCTAACTCTGGGACATGTTCGTCCCTTTTGAGCAGTGCGCTGCTCTTTCTCAAACGCTGTAGTCGCTCCAGTCCCTTTCGTATTTTGCTGTTTTTTTAATCCTAGCACAAGCCGTAGCAATTGCCTTAAACTCTCTGCTCCCCTTCGAACTGTTTGCTGTTCTTTCTCGGATGCCGTAGTCCGTTTCAACTTGCTTGCTCGAACACCCTGACCCTTTCCCTGTTTGCTTCTATTCTCGAAACTCTCTTGTCCTGTTCGCGTGTTTGCTCCTTCTTCTTCTTACATGTTCTCGCCTTTGTCAGGCGGCTTGCTCCCGCTGTCAAAGGCTCCAATCACCCCGTTCTCTAGACGGACTGGAGCTTTGACAAAGGAGGAGCAACTGACAGGAGAAGTTGGGAAAAAGGCGCAAACCTCCGGAAAGGGACCACAGCCTGTGATACAGAATGGCAAACCGATTAAGAGGGAATGGAGCAAAGCTTCCTACATGACCCGTAAACCCCCACCCCCTTGAAAAGCTCGAAGACCTAGTAACTCTACTCCAGATCGACGATTGTCGGCAAAGCATGTATGCTCACTCCATGTCTGTCCACCAGGATATGCCGCCACTATGACTCGACAAAGCTCAAATTAAATCTAAATTCTAAGGTGAACATGGTGCTTAGCCTGCACTGGCAGACGTTGAAGAAAGCGTTTGCTGTCATTTGTGAGCTTGGAAGTTGTCACAGTGTGCATCTGCATTGCGACTGACTCTGCACGAGCATTGCACGGCATGTATTCTAGACTGGCTAAGTAGATGATTGAAGGCACGTCCGTACATGTGGCAGATAGAAAGATAGACAGACAGGTAAATAGATACATAGACAGGTTCACAGATAGCTGGGCCAGCTAGCTAGCCGGCGGGCAGGCAGGCAATGTCAATGTAACAAAAACGCAAGCACGTAGAGAGACATGCCTTTAGTTTTGGACTGTGCGCATAGACACGAAATGTCCGAACACTTACGTCAGTGGGGTGGCATCCTAGAGGGTGCGGGAAGTAACAGGAACCCGTTTGGGCCGTTTGGGAAACCATTTCTAGAGATCGTAACGGGAACGAGGGCTAGTAGGAACAGTAACAGGAACTGTCCCAGGAAAGCCAAGCAACCGAAACTACCTTGCAACTCTTGTGTGGGGGACCGGTTTTCGGTCCCCTACTTTGACACCATGAAAGCATCATGCTGACACCCACGTTTCGTTCGAGGCATAACAAGTTTGGGTTGAAACAGATTCACGGTTTGGGATATAGGATGCCAGCGGCAATACACTCCTTGTCCCTGAAGCATGTTACGGGATCAGTCCCCGGTCCTGTTACGGCACGGGTTCCCGTTACGGACATCCTGTTCCCGATACGGCAAACATTTGGGGTGGCATTAGGTCGGCTCTGCAATTCAGCGTGGGCCGAGTAAGCTCCACACGGCTCGCCTCACCCGACACCTGTCTGCCGCCGAACGTAGCAGGTTGCGCATGGGACAAGCGATGCTTGGTTTCAAGCTCCGGCAGCAGAGGCCGGCTTTGGGAAGTTATGCAGATGCTGAGGATGCTTGAAGGATTGGGTAAAGGCCTGCGCTTGTCGACGTGGGCATTCGCTTCAAATTGACCTTGCTTGCCGCCTGTCCGGTGCCTCTGCAGTGCTCAGGAAAAAAACGGCACACTGAACACGAAGGGCAAAGGGTGTTTCTGTGCCGAGTTCAGCAATCGTGGACTTCTTGTACATACCACTCAAAGGAAGCTTTCGAAGGTGTCTTTTTTCGTGACAAGAACACACTCGCAGTACCAAGGTCTCGGATCTATGATCGAATCCACTACTGAAACTTCCAGCCTGTGTTTGGGATCAAGACGGCGTGCAGTACATCCCTCGCAAGATCCCGCCCAAAGGCTCTCCACAAACAAGTTGCACCTACCACGAGATCCAGCCTTCTTAAGCCACCCGCACCGCCAAGCCTTTCGCTCGGAGAAGGGCTACTGTAGGTTCGGGCACTTGTGTCATCGGGACAGTGCGATCACGTCAAGTTTGCAGGCCACGGTGGCTTTGGGCAAGCCTACAGGGTTCTTCAATTGATTACAGAATTTCCTGATCGCCTTCATCTACCAAGTCGACCTCCGCTGCGCAAGTTCCGGAATCGTTTCGATCACTTCTCCGAGTCGGGTCTGCCCGTCAAGGCACTCGCAGATGCAATGCGCGAGGCCTCAAAAACCTGGCCAACCTTAGGGTTTAGGGTTTAGGGTTTAGGGTTTAGGGTTTTGAGACCAAAAGCTGCGGCCCTGGCGCGGCCCGGGCATCGGCGCCTGGCAGTGCTCTGTTACATGCGAGTGGCCCCAAACACATGGACGAGCCTACCGAACAGAAAGCTAAACAGCTCTAAACTTTCCTGGAATTCTGGAAGTCCAAGAGACCTTTCCCAACAGGCTCCAGTTTATCCCTGCAAGCACTGCGCCTCGAGGCACTGGAGCTGCCGGGTGGATGCCGAGAGCCACGAAGGCACTGACAAGACGAGAGGCTTGCAAAAAGGCTGCAGGCCTTTCAGCTACGGCGAGAAGATCCCTGACGCTCGAGGAATCCACACAAGACAGATCCTGCCACTCAGAGGCTACAGAGAGCTTCGCACCCCCACAGAAACCTTTTCCAAGGCCTACGGCACCCTAAACGTCCGAAAGGCGTGTCTGGGGCCTGGAGGCCCAGTAGCAAGCCAGTGCCAGGGCAACGGAACGCCAGAGGCGAACCTTTTGGTCTCTTCAGATTCACGGGTTTCGAGCTGAGATGAAAAGCCCCACAAGAAACAGCTGAGTTCACCATAGCACAACACTACTCGCACCCGTGACTGCAAGAAAATGAAGGCAGAGAGAAGAAGAAGGAGGCCTGCTGGCGATCTGCTCGGGCGGCCATGGCTCGGAAGTGGCAAAACAGGCAAAAACCACTTCGGCTGCCCACGGCCGACGATAGACACACTCCTACCACGGCTGGTCCGAGAAGTACTCACATAGATACGAGCCACCTAGAGTCGGAATCCAAGATACAGAGGAGCCCAAGCATGTCGAAGGTGCGGGAGGCGCTGGGAGAATTCAAAAAAACAGAGCCCGAACGGCTGCAGTCTCCGTCCACAGCTACCGCAGGAACGATTGCCGTCTGCAGCTGCAGCAAAAAACACCAGCTGCCATTAACTGTCTCGGCGTGCACCGAAGTATGCTGCTTGAACTAGATAAAGCAAGAGAAACATTAACTGCACCCCATGTCTTTCCATTTCTACGGGATCCAGAGAAACGAGCCTTGGACCCTAAACCGTGAGCTTTACATGCAACAATCCTTGGCCTTGGAGCTTTGAGACCAAAGGGAGCTGCCACGAAAGAACTCACAGTGCCAACAAGCCCAGGTTTTCCCCCTGTGCCCAGAAGTCGCTAAAGTTACTCGGGCACGGAGGCTGCAAAGACGCAGCCCCTCGCTCTGCCTCGAAAAATGCAAAGCTAGCGGAGGCAACGCTTCGAGGCATGGGGTCATAGCGTTTGGGGTGCTTGGGTTTCGGGTCTTGAGCTTTCGCGGTTCAGGGATTTGGAATTTGGGGTGCAAGGTCCTTTGTTCATGATCTTCGTCTTCCCGGCCTCCGACTCCAGTCTCTGGACCAGGGCACTCCTGAGCTTTCGAACACGCACAAAGAAAACTTGGCCAAATCCGCCAACCGTAATCCCCGGAGCCGAAGCACAAGGTCTCTTGCAGTGTCCGGTCGGCTGGCAGAGAATCGAGAACGTGCGCCAAGTCCTCGCTGTCTCAAGTGCTTCCAACATGAGAGCTCTGCATGCTTGCAAAGCTGGAATGTTGCACTAACCTGCAAAAAGCTTCGGTGTCGATCTCCCCGTGTGCTCGCACAAGACTTCTGCAACTGTGCAAGCTACGTCATCGCGACCGCAAAAGGGCGTCTGTCTTGGTGCTGTTCTTTTGTGTTGTAGCCCTCGCGGCAAAAAACTCTCAAACCACGGTCGTCGGCCTCTGGACCGCAAATGCGGCCACGAAGTCGTGCAGTTGGCGGCGGTGGCAAGGCCGGCCTTGGTCGCCAGTGGGTTGTCATTTCTCTTCCTTCGGGCACCTGAAAGCAGCTCAGCAGCATGGCGACTGCGGGCGTCGGGTAGCTGTGGAGCGCGAGGCTCCAGACCCTTTCGATGACTCCGCAGCGAAGATGAGATGAGATGCAGGCACCGAGGAGCGGTGACTCCACAAGCGACGCCAGAAAGTCCTTCAAAGGGAGCCAAGACGAGGACGCTTGCGACGCTGGCGATGCTGTAGCTGTCCCGGCTGTCCCTGGGACGGGCCCTGGCCCGGTCCTGCCCTTCTCGAGGCCCCAATCGACGAAGACCACATGGCCAAAGCGACGCACACAGCTGCTTGTTTTTTGCAACAGCACGGAACGCAACTCCGCTGAGTCTTTGAACTTCAAGCTCCAGGTCTCGCTGACATAGGGTCGGGCTGTGGCCCGGCAGCAGCGGAGGAGCTCCCCCTCCCGCTTCCGACTCTCCGTCATAACTTCGCCCTGCTCCTCCTCCCCCTCCTCGTCCTCGTCCTTGTAGCCCAGCTCCTGCTGCAGGCGCAGGATCTTCCGGACATCACGGCCCCGCCTCAGCGCCTCCGTCGCCAGCTCTCGGCGTGCTCGCCACTTCAGCCGGCGCTGGCTCTCCGTGGTCTGCGCGCTGGGCGTGGGAATGCAGCGCCCGCAGCGGCTCTCGTCGAAGCGCGCCGCAAGGCCACGGATCTGCCTCCAGAGCCCGGGTCCCATGCGCAGTGAGGGTAGGAGATGCGACAACATCCTCCTCACGTGGTCGTCAAAACTGCTGAGGATATCTTCAGCGCGCAGAGTGAGGACGCGAGGGTCATCTTTCACGTAACGGTATACCGCCCACATGTCTGCAATGGTGTTTCCACGGTGGAAGCCGTGCTTCCGGCGCAGATGGAGCTTCGCCTCCAGCCTTCCCACACAGACATATCGGTATCAAACCTTTGCCAAACTAGCGTCTGCACTAACCCGCCATACGCGGCTTCCCCCTCTCATGCAGCCAGAAGGCTTCAGTCCCTCCGCCACCGAAAGGTTCTGAAGCACCTTCGGCCCGGAGCCGGGTGGAGCGTCGCCTTCTCATTGCATGGCTTTTTTGGCACAAGAGACACCCAACGCAAACACGGACAGACACGGTGGCTTCATGAACTCCCGAGAACCCGAAAAAAAAACACCCTGAAACCTGAAAAAGACCGAGCCCAACCCTGGTAGGCGTGGTAGGCGTAGCCGGAGGAGAGCATCTCCAGCGGAGACCGCACAATCTGTACCGCACGGTACTTTGGGCACCTCTGCTCCAAGACCTCACGTGGCGGCAAAAGGTGCTCGCAAGCTCGCAAACGAAAGAGAGTAGTAGATAATAAATTATAGCATAACCTATTGTAGTTTTTCGTATTGCAGTATGTAATAATATTGTAATTCAATATTATACGAGGCTACACTGTGCACATTAGAAAATTATAGTATAGTATAGCCTATATAGCATAGCATAGGATGGCAGGGCAGGACAGGGCAGGGCAGAGCAGAGCATAGTAGAGTAGAGTACAATAGAGTACAGTAGAGCAGAGCAGAGCAGAGCAGAGGGCAGGATAGGATACGATAGCATAGCATAGCATAGCATTGGATAGTGTAGTATAGTATAGTACAGTATAGTACAGTACTGTATAGTATAGTATGGTCAAGTCTAGTCTAGTATATAGTACAGTGTATAGTATAGTACTGTATAGTATAGTATACTATACTATACGACACTATACGATACTATACTGTACCGTACCATACTGTACTGTACTATGTTGTGTGAATTGAAATTATACTACTGTGTGGAGCTGCACGCATAGATCCAATCAAAATGTTACAAGGACCGGAAGGGGCCACGGACATGCCGAACCCTAAGCCCTGCCCTGGTTCCCAGCACCACAACCAGAAGCCCTGAAGACGCCAAAAGACTACGTATGCATGTATGCATGAATGCATGTATGTATGTATGCATGCATTGGACAGCGTTGACTCGTTTATGCTGCTGCTCGCCCCGTTTGTTTGCTGATGATGCTGCGATTTACGTCTTCTGCTGGCCCTTGGCTTTGCTTTGTGCCCTGTTTTTTGGCTTCTGCCGCTGACTGAACATGTGGCTTCTGCCGATAATAGCCCGAGGGCTTCGAGGCAAACGGACAAGCAAGATGCTTTCACGTGGCTCTGGCCCACCTTTACCCCACCCCCCTCTGAACAGCAGGTGAAGGGGGAGACGCGTTGCAGGTGCGGCAGATGTTTTCCAAAAGCAATTTTAAACACATTTTAGGCCTTGACTTGCACCTAATCCTTTCGCGGAGTCAGTGTTTCCAACCCTTACAAGGAATTTTAAAACGACCCCCAACTCTGAGAGAGCACAAAGCACAGCGTCTGTTCCTATTAAAAAAGGCTAGCAACAGCCTACACAGTGCAACAAGAAGCATGGCGAACAGTGAATGACATGGGTCATGAATCACATCCGTTTATTGCCGGCAGTGGCAACCAGGGCATGAGCAGGATTGACTACACCAAGTCCTTTTGCACAGGCGAAGTAAGTGTCAAAACCTTCGCTCTCGATCGGATTGAGATGTGCAGCTGTACTGTTGGTAAGTCCAACACACGGCTGCCCACCACTAATCCTACCAAAACCATGTGCAGCGTTTGCAGGTACCAGTAGGCACACAAGCCACAGCACAAGTGTAGTCCTGGCCACTTTTGTTCTGGGCCTAACTTTCGCCGTCCTCACCGTGCGCTCTCACAAAGGCTAAAACTGATCGATTTTCCCAACGGCATAGCCAAGCGCCTCATTGACATCTCCCATCACCTAGAATCGACCCGTAAGCAAAAGTATCGGAAGTCCACGATCTGCCCCAGCTTGCCGGCCCACGGGTCCAGGAGGGCCTACAGCCCTCCTGGCTCCCTGTCCCTCGCCAGCACCAGTTCACTAACTCCGGGACTTGAAGAAGAAAGGGTCAGTCAACACAAGCACACGTTACGTCGGAGACATGTCTCCTCCTCCACATGCTACCATGTACATGTACATAGACATCCACGTCTGCACATGTGCATGTATATTACTTACAGATAGATACATAATTAGGTATATATATATATATGTGATGTATATATATATATATATATAATGATATATATATATATATATATGATGTATATATATATATATAACATATATATATATATATAACATATATATATATATATAACCTGAAGTGGGAGCTTTGAGCCTCCAAGTCCTTGGGCTGCACGTAGAGCCCCGTAAAATCGGCCTCGCCACAGCGGCGCGGCATGGAGGGCCACTGATACTGCGTGACCGAGAGGCCAAGGAAAGCCAAGACCTGCTCTGGGGAGATCTGGGGATGTTTAGGGTTTAGGGTTTAGGGTTTAAGGTTTAGGGTTTAGGGTTTAGGGTTTAGGGTTTAGGGTTTTTAGGGTTTAGGGTTTTTGATGGGTTTAAGTCTCCTTTTCATCGGCTGTTGCGGCGGTGGGTCTTGCGAGGAGGCCTTGGCCTGGCCTCGGCAAAGAGGCTTCGGAAGAGTGTCGACATGCCCTTGTGGTAGATGAAGAGGTAGAGCTGCTGATACTCCGGTCGCGGCGAGCTCAGGCTTGGAGGAGGAAGCCACTTCAAGTAGGCCTTGTCGCCTCTGCGACTGCCTCTTGCAATGTGCAGTGCCACACGCTCCGGAAACGGATCCTCCGATGCAAAAGCTGCAACCGCTCTACTCTTCAGAGATCTGAACCGAAAACTCGCTCTGCTTCAAGCTCCCCAGGACCCTGGGCCCCGAGACTGTGCAGTCTTATGATAGCAGCTGGAAGCCCCGGAAGCAAAGCAAGGAATGAGGAAAGAAAGAGGGAGGGGGTGGGAGGGGTCTCTTCAGGCAAAGGCTTCCAGATTGGTTTCTCGGTACAGCCGGCCCATTCGATCCATGCGCAAGTGGCAGGTCCACCAATCCTGAAGCGATGTTTCCGAGCTTCCATGACCTATACGCCTGTACGGGCCTATACGCGTACCAATCTTGATGGAGGCCACCCGGTTTCTACTTAGCCTGACGTTCTCGCAGAAGAGCGAATTTCTGGCAGTACAAACACTGGTTTCAGACCAGTGAGCGTCAGTCGAGGGCTGACAACGCCTATCAGCAAAAAAAGATCGTGTCGAATTGCAGCACAAGGGTCTGGGGCACGGCACGTGAAACCCAAGCAGCCCGCAATCCTGAGAGGCTTCGGGAACGCACAAACTTGCCCATGCTGCGCGGTCTGAGTTTCTTTCTGCAATGATTCCCGAGCCACAAAAGATTCTGTCATTCCGGTTCTGCGGATCAAGCCAAGGCATCTTAAAAGCTTGTGCCACCCCGCTCTTTAGAGCATCTAAACGGAGGGAGGCCGTCTTCTGAAATGCGGCCCAGCTTCAGATTACAGAGCATGGCAGCTTGCACGCGCCCCTTCAAGGCGAGGGTGTCGTTCCACGAAGATCGGCGAGGCAGTACGGGCATCAGCTGCAGAGAATCGCGCACGTGGTAACCAAAGGATGCTAGAGGTAGCAGGACCTTTGCTAACAGAGAAGGTGCGATTCCAGCTCCATTAACACCAACATGTCACTGTCATAACATGCGATAACCAATGTCAGAGTCAGAGGCACCGGGAAAGGAAGTCCCCAGCACTCTGAATCGCTCTCCCTCCAAGAGCTAATCGCACCGCGACCCAGCTGGCCTCCGGCAGCTGCGCGAAGGTGCAAAAAGGCTAAGGGGGCTCGGACTGAACGGTTTGTCTGCGGCTATCAGCGGCCTGTCAAGGATGCATTGCATGTCCAGATGTCCTCACACGGTGAGACGTAGTCCGTGGTCAGGAAGGGCAGGAGAAGTGAAAGGCGGATGGCCCGCGTGCGCGGTGTGTACCTCGACGGGACTGGCACCCCAAATCGGCGCTTTCAGGCCGGGGAGGGCCGGGGCTGGGCTGTGGGATGGAGTGCAGGCCAAGGCACACTTGCCGTGGATCTGCCCCATCTTCGGCCAGGACACGGCAGCGCCTCGACCAGAGCTCGGCAGCGTGCCATTCGAGTCCGACGACCCCGGCCGTCGGTGGCAGCTCCTTGAAACAAGTCTTGCAGCTCTCCAGAGATGTTCCACAGTGGAGAAAGAAGGCATCGAATTCCCTGCCAAAGTTGTCCAGGCAGCTGCCTGGACCGACGGCCACCAGCATGGGCACCGACTCTGCTCTGAGCCGGAAGCTGCGGTTCCTCACGGTATGTCACAGTTGCGCTTTGACGATGCATTGCTGTTTCTGTGTCAACTTGACCGATCTGGCTTTAGAGAGATGCAGGGCAGCGACGGCGGGCGTGTCTCTCGGTCACTTCCAGGAGTCTCGGGTGCTAGGGCCCGGGGTTTGGCGTTTACATTTATGGCTTTATGGCTTCTGTCCTGCCCCTTCCGCTTTGACTTACTCGTCAAGCACATGGGTACGTAGAGACTCATGTCACATGAAGATGCTGGGGACTGTTGAGAGATCAAAAACTAGAGTGACCGCAAGCGACCATCTGGCAGCGCCTTCTTTAAGCAATGTCAACCAAAGGTGTCTGGTCCAGGGCCACAGCTCTTCTGTGCCTTCCGTGGTTTCTTTGCTGATATGCTGGTAGACTGACAGCCTTCTGTTCCCTCTGAACTACAGGTGAGACGGGCCATCAGGGCAGCAGGGCCTCACTGCCGGCCCCAGTCAGGGATTCCAGGCGCTGCTGCTCTCGTGAGCGCAGGACGAAGCAGTAAGCGGACGCGGGCCCGATGAAGGGCGAGAACAACACGGCGATGAGCACCTTCAATGCCACAGCCGGCACTTTCCCGAGCGAGGGCCCTGACCGACTACGCGACTATCTAGCCAAGGCGCGTCTAGGCCACGGCAGCTTGCAGCCAAATAAACCAGCATCGACAGGCTGAGTACACTCGAGTCAACCTAAGTGGAAGATTCGGAAAGAAAGCGATCCCAGTACAGTAGTTCGCTACAACATGAAGCCCAAATAAGGTATCCCCTAAGTTTACCCACCCCCCCCCCTTCCTGGTAGAATTGTCTACTGGCCCATGACTGAACCGCAAGGACATCTGGGAACGAAAACAGCTGTCTGTCACAATGCTATCCGAGTCGAATACTGACTGGACGGACGGTTGTCACAGAATCATTTCCATGATTTCATACAGCCCACTTCTGCTATGTAGTGCTGCTGTACAGCCTCACTCGCCTTGACATGGATTGCAACTTGGACCAATTTCTTCGATTGGCTTCGCGACTACCACATGCTCAGTTCCAAGCAACACGCACTGACACCCCCAAACGGGATACCAAGGCACAGTCATGAAGGCCACCCATGGGCTTGCTTTGGGCCCCCAGATTGCTGCCAGAAGCTCTTCCGAGCTGTCGAAGCTTCGCCACGCGCAGTAGATCCTTCCGCGTGCTCTTGTGCTGCTTCGTGTGCTGTTGCCTGCTGTGCACTGCTGGACCCTGAGGTCATCTCGTGCTTCCCGGCAAATGGGAAATATAGACACTTCTAGGATACTCGGATGCAATCCTGGGCATCGCCTGCTTCGCCATGTCAGGTGCTTCTGGGAGCTATATTGCTTTTGCTGATGGATTTCAATAATCTTTGGGCGATTCATGGGCTTCAGCGAACCAGTGCGAACTGCGGACGCTCAAATACCAGCCGAGCGTCAGGTAGTAGTATCCGGCGGCTGAAACCACAGCCATGATGGAATAGGCTTGTTTCCTGACTTTCGCTTGTGCAACAGGGCAGCATGTGATCTGGCATTCCAACAGCTGGCGGCCCTTGCAAAATGTCGAGGATACTACGCTCTAGCTAAGTCGGCCCTCCGTTGTTTTGGCTGTAACCCTGAAAAGGGCATCTCCGTGCCTGACCATAAAATGGAAGTTGTCTCAGTCCGCACGCAGCATGCAGAATGCAGCATGGCAAGGTCAGAGCGGCTCGCAAGCCCAGGCATGATTTCAAGCCGATGATATTTCCCTCGCGGTGTCGTTCCCTCTGGCACGTTTGTTCCGTTGCGTGAAACGAGATGCTGGACGTCTGATCCACCGAGAATGGACAAGGCTTGAATCCTTTGGGTGCCTACGGACACCGGCGTTTCAGCCAAGCTGCAGCAGTTCGATGGCAGCCGGAATAGGCTTCTGCGGTGCTGGGAAAGGCCATGTCAGAATACCGACAAAGGCGAGGCCCTTGACTGCTTTGCGCTTCATAGCATCCGAACGTGGGAACTGCAAACAATCACAAGAGATTGGATTGCTATGCGCTTTGGGACCAAGGGGCAGGGCCAACCAGGCTGTCTGCACAGATGGTCCAGGCTCGTGTATTTGTGTCCAGGTTGAAAACCGCTGCCTGGCTATCATCTGTCCGTGTCTCTCCCAGGCTCGGCTACCTCCCGGATCCCACGATTCTCGTCTGTCGCTCGACAACGTCACACACAGACAAATCTAGTATGGTAAACCGTTTGTACCTCGGGTCGTGGACTGCAAGCAATCAGATTTCAGGGCTATCTCACAAAGTCTTGCTCCCTCGTAGCGGCAGAGAGCCTGGGTTGAGCCTTGCAGCCTTCTTCCGGGAGACCGCGCGTCCTTCTTTGAGCCTCCCCGCACATAGCTAGACCCTGAGCCACAAGCCCTAGTAGCCCACAAAGGGCCCGACCCTTCCTTCCCCATGCAGCTAGGAGGCTTCTAAGAGGGTCACCAAGAGCGGAACCAGCCTCAGATCGAGCTCTGGATGCCTATCCCTAACCCCCCAGGTACCTACTATATAGGGTACTAGAGCCCCTAAGGCCCTATATAGTAGGTACCTGGAGGGTTAGGGTATGCTGTCAGCATGAGAACAGCGTGACCAACCTGGGGTTCACTTCTCCTTTCGCTCTATCAAGCAAGGCCGAACCCTACTTTTGGCTCTCTTAAAAGGGACCTTATTGAGAGGGTCTCTATCCCCAAGGGTCCCCCTAATCCTAGATCACGAGGAGAACTAGAGATCATAAACTGACACTTCTCCTCGAGGTAGAGACTTCTCTCCGCGTAGCATGGCCGTCCAGACACGGCCGGAGGCGGGCGAGCCGCCGCCGGTGCCCTGTCGGAGCGCCGAGCTGACCCAGAAGCACGGGAAAGCGAAGCTGATTCCTCGACGGGTCCCGGGAACCGCAGCGAGAACAGGAGGGGTGCTTAACGTAGCCTGAAGTCACTGAAGACTTGGACCAGGGTTAACTGGACCCTATATACTCACCGAAGCCAAGATAGAAACTCTCGAAAAGAATCCTTCAAGTCCCTGATGGTAGGGATCTTGCATACATGACAGCTCTCAGTTTCCACCAAAGCCAAAGGCTCCAAAGACCTGCCCCAGCAGGAAGGTGAGGATGGGCCAGTTGACGAAAGACTTGGCGCCAGGTCTTCCGGCCTCCAACCAAACGAGAGGCTGAGTCCGCGAAGAAACGGCTTTGGATTGGGATTTGGGGACTGCAAGACTTGAGCCCAAGCTCTTTGCCGTCTGGATCCCGTTCTCAGTTCTACGAACAGATGGGAGAGCCTGTGCCTCTGCACCGGAATTGAGCCTAGCTATGCAAGCCTTAAAAACACGCACGACACGCGACGTGTTGAGCGAACTTGAAAGGAGACAACACTCGGGGTCAAAATGCAAAAACAGGCGGCTTCAAGTCGACCAATCGATTCGACCGCTTGTTTCGTCATCACATCTGGGCTTTGAGCGCTGTGTGGTGGGTTCAGTAATCGAAACACGTGTGTGCTCCGCTTACACCTATCTTTGCTTAATGTAAAAGCAAGACTACATGCCACGACAAGAACAAGATAAATAAAAAGGACTCAGCGCTTTGTGTCAAAGGCTGTTGCTATGAATGAACCCATAGCCGCCGTGGCCCTCGATTTTGTGCATTCTCTCTCATCTTGTGTTATTTGCGAGACCTGAACCAAGGCAGCTGCCTCTCAAGCTCTATGCAAGAAGGCTCAAGACTTACTGAAGCCTGGCCTCGGTGTACACCAAGAGCATCAAGGGGAAGAGGTGGATGCCCGCAGCACCCCAAACCAAGATGCCGGCAGGCTCTTTGACCAAGGCAAGCACAAACCTCGTGAGGCATCAGATTTATTCGGGCCTTGGGGCTATAGCAGCGGCTTGGGGGGCTAGGGGTGTGGGGACTTGAGGTTTAGGTCGGATGCACGAAACAAGCCCCTGACCACAAAACCCTGCAGTGTGCAATCCCATGCGGATGTGCATCTTATATCTTGCAAGGTTGGGCCTTGCCAGGGCAGTTTGCATTCAGCCTTCAGAAAAGGAAGCATGAAATGTGCCAGGAAGCTGCGTGACGATGCAGATGAAGCCGCCACCCATCTCGCTTTCATACTCGTGAAACCCAGCCTCCTTCAGGGCGGCCATATCCCCAGCCATACAGAGCTTTTGCATTTTCGGCCTTGTCTGCGCAGTTTGATATCTCTCTTCGATGCAACAAGTCAGAATGCAATTCCAGGCTGGCAAGCTGCGCGGTCGGGTCGCTTCCCACTATTTTGATCTGAGTCATGTAGGCGGCATATATTCCCAATGCAAAGGCAATCACCGTGCCGGCTATCTGCGCCTCAGTCGCGCAGCTCACGAAAGTCCGCAAGCTGTCGCCAAGCGGCCTAGCCTACGAGTCTGCGACGCCGAAGTAAAAACCACTGGCGATGCTTGGCCGAGGCACTGCGGTGGCCATGGCTTCTCGTCCGAGGGATCTTAAATTCTCCACCCCGGACTCATGTGCCTGTGAAGGCTTGGGCAACGAAGAGTTCATGGGATTTCATGGGCACCTTGAATCGCATTGACATTCAAGCCAATGCGAAGAGTCTAGTCAGATAGCCTGCACAGTTCCCTCGGAACTGCTTTGATGAAGCCAGATGCAAAGCATAACGAACTGTGCGGCTATGTGTGCGTGTGTGTGTGCCAAGCTGTCGGCAGGATCGGGTTGAGCTTACATTGCTTGCATATGACCGAAGCAGCACCAAAAAAGGCCAGAACCTAAGAAACATCGGGCTGCAGGGCTTTCTCTGCCGAGCGGAGCGGCACTCGACTTCGGCTGGGTCTTTGTGGGACACGGCGGAGATTTCTTCGAGGCGGCGCTCAGTCTCGGCGCTCGGCCTCTGACGAAATTTCCGACATCTGCCCATAGAATCTGAAAACACCTCAG